TTGCACCGACATTCTTCAACCCAAATTATAACTTGGTAGTAGTACAAACCCTTATTTATCTGAAAGGAGGTGGATTCCTCGTCTATCAGATTCATCTTCATCTGGTTGTACCCTAATTATGCATCCATGAAACTAACTATCTTGTGTCCGGACGTGGCATCGACGAACTGATCTATTGCGTGGGAGGGGGAAACTATATTTCGAATAAGTCTTGTTGAGTTCAGTGCAGTCAACGCACATTCTCCATGCACCGCTATTTTTTTTACCGTGACGAAATTGGCCAGCCACGTTGGGTGGTGTACTTCGTGTATGAACTTTGCCTCCAAAAGTTTGTTGACTTCTTTCTCGATGACTTGTAAGCGATGTAGGGGGAAGTTGTGCTTCTTTTGGATGACCGGTTTAAAAATCAGATTTACTTTTAAAGAGTGCATGATCATTGTAGGGTCGACTCCTATCCAAAAATGTCTTGGTTCCTCTGGAGGAAATCTACATATTCCGATCTTTGCTCATCGGAGAGTAGGGAACCAAACTGCACCATTCATGAGTGTTCATCGGAAAGCGAGACATGGATCAAGTCTTCCACTGGAGAAGCCTGTTGAGTTACACCTTCATCTCGAAGATCAAAGTTCTTAATGCTAAGTGTCATCGATGCGCGTGATTGGGCTTGCCTGAGGTAACATGATTGCACTATCTGTTTTTCCCCTCGTACGATGTCGAGCTGGGGTTGGGACTTGAGCTTCAGGTGTGGCACATAAGTCACGATGCCGAAGATGGATTTCAGGGGTCTCATAAAGATGGCATTGTATACTGATTTCGAGTTTACGATGATGAATTGGATTGAGTGGGTTGTCTGTCGAGGAAAATCTCCCATGATAATGGGGAGATTAATTGTTCCCTTGACCCTTACTGGTCGATTATCAAAATCGTATAATTGCCCGGATATAAGTTGAAGTTTTTCTCTTGTCAGTCCCAAATTGAGAAACGTGGAATAGAATAAGGCATCAACATAGCTCTCATTGTCAATCAGAATCTTCTTTACATCGTAGCAGTGTTTGTCAATTCTTGCGCTAATGACATGAGGGTCTTGGTGGGGGACTTGACTCCTTCCAAATCAGAATCATCAAAAGTGATAGATTCGAAGTGTATTTCTTTTGTACTGGTTCACCAAGTGTAGTGATAAGGACTTAATCGGTCGACGGGCCTCCATCAATTATCTGAATTTCCCCAATGACTATGTGTGTATGTTGCCCTCAGTGAGAGCATTATCGGTATCAGCTGGTTTATTTTGCACAAATCAACCAAGATATCTTTGTCGAATCATTCTTTCAATCTCTTCCTTGAGCTGCTTACATGCCTTAGTGGTGTGGCCGCGACTTCAATGGAAATGACATTATTATTTCTGATTCCTCCAGTTAGGTTTTAGGGGTGAGTTCACTTAATCGTTTTCTCATCTTTGATGGACATCAGGACATTGACACGCGATGTTGAACCGTGTATACCATTTCTTAGGTCGATGCTCACTTTGTCGGTCAACATGTTGGGGAGGTAGGTCATGATTCTTCTGTTGTTCGGAATTTCTCTGTTTCGAAAGTTGATAATTGTCTCTGACATTACTCTTGCGCTTCCTCCCAAATTGCTCGAACTGCTCCTTATCTACGCCGATGGCCTCATTTGCAGTGATTTGAGCTTCAACACGGTGAACAAAGTTAGCATAAGAATGAGCTATCTTCTACACCTAATGATGAGTACAAGGATCCTGGGCAAAGCCCCCCAAGGAAGACTTCTCTCAGTAACTTTGAATTCACTCACGGAATCTGACTGGCTTAAGCGGAAAACCTGCAAAAGTAGTTCTTAAGCAATTCTCTTTCACTCTAGCGAAGTCCTGAGAGATGGGATAAATCTTTGATGATCTATTGGTTTGCCATGAACTACTCTACAAATAATCTAGCATGCTCGTTAAAACTGTTTATAATGCCCCCTAGCAAAGAGTAGAACTAGATGCGAGTTTGTCCTTTAAAAGTGATCGGGAGCACTTTACACAAAAGCGCATCAGAGGCACGCTGAATGTGCATGATTGTTCGATAGTGATCAATATGCTCGTAGGGGTCAGGTATCCCTTCGTAGGTGTCAATGTTCGGAAGTTTGAAGCCTGTTGAGATGAGGTGTTTGAGGACCACATCCGCTAAGGAAGAAGATTTATGGACGTTATGGTGAGTGGGGAAGCGATCCTTATTCTTTGGGGGAACTCTTCCCGAACATGACGTCATAACTCGTTACGAATGACATCATCTGGAATGACAATAAGACATGAAACTGCTAGGCGAACTGTGTGAGATGGATGAGTAGAGAAAGACTCCAACCACTAACTTGCGGTATCTAGGAGTTCAGCATCACAACCTGGCAGGGGTAATGCTTCCTCTTGCGGAGGGGGGTCGTTAAAAGTTCTTTCAAGCAGTGTGTTTCTTGTAGGTCGATGAGTTAGTGGTAAACAAACTCTATCCAATAGTGTGGGTAGGGTAGCGGTTGTTGAGCCCTGTTTAGGAACTGTAAGATCTCTAGTTGAGACTCTTCCATTCTTCACATTCGGACTTCAAGAGAAGGACCTGACACGCCTTTTTCGGCAAGATAACGCTCTCAATGTGGGAAGATGAAGAGACGTGCCGCCCTTGGCTTGGTGACTGCTCACTGGAATGATGGGTGTTGGAGCGGGATTCTCCATTGTAACGAATATTGTGTCTGGTGACCATGTAGTAAGACTAGCAAGTACTTCAGTGGTGGGATTGAAGTTTCCCGTAGACGGCGTTATGATGCGTGCTAGAAAATTCACGGCAGTAGAGTAGCAGATTGCCTTCTTAATATGGTACGAAGATCCAACACACTCGAAAAAGAGAAAACAACTAATAACGATATTAGAAGTTATTATATTGAAAATCTGGAAAGAGAAAAACCACGGAGTCTGACCCAGCTGAAGAGTCCACTATAAAAAGATATTTACACTTACAACCACTTATCTTATAGGCAAGAAATGGTTACTAGTTTTTAGAAGTTACGACATCGACGAACTGATGAATTTATTGTAAAAAGTGGTCAGCGGTGACTGACAGGTGGTGGTCGATGACGATCGACGATGGTCGACGGCGGCCGAGAGGTGGTTGTTGACGGCGGCCGGCGGTAGGAGCAGTGCTAGACTTCAACTCCTCAAAGTTTCAAAGTCTATTCCTCAAGCCTCAAGCTTTCATTTTGCTCTCATGAGAGGGGTGAAGGTTTATTTATAGTTTCAAATGCAATTAATGCAGAAATATGAACCGCTTTGATCAGACGGTCTGTAGAGGTTTTTTTGATTACACGGCGTTTGATAGACATGTGAGTGTCTTAACAATGTTGGTTTTGAGCGATCTTGGGCTCATTGGATTTGTCTTGTCGAAGTGCCTTAACAATATTGGTTTTGAGCGATCTTGGGCTCATTGGATTTGTTTTGTCGAAGCGCTCAGTTCGATTATAAGCTCGCTAGATTCGACATTCATTTGAACTTCAAATATGCTCAAAAAATTTTCAAAAATGGTTTAATGACTTAATTTTAACTTGTTTTGACTCGAATTGGACTAATTTTGGTATCATTGGATCTGCTTCGTCGAGCTATTCATTTTGACTATTAGTTTATTGAAATATGAGCTATAGATGATTTTTTATCATGGTTTGAACATTTCTTGTTCAAAAGATTGGCTCAGTTAATAGAAATTTGTTGATATCGTATCACATATAATGCACTTTATAAACACGGATGCACATACATGCATTGGGGTAGAGTGCCCACAATTTAAGTTTGTTCACCTAGTAATGGATTATGGTTTCTATGTCAAAGTTTGACTATATAAATTAAGACATAAGGTATAGGAAGCAATTTTGATTCAACTTTTAGCAAAATTAAAGGAATGTACCAAGGGGTTGTTTGACCTGCAGCAAAACAAGTACAGTGCAATTTGTTGACAAGTGTTTTGAAAATCCAGTATTTGTTCGTAGAAAAACAAATATAGTGTAAAATTATAATGCATTTGCATACATTTTTTAGTTCAATTTCAATGTATTTGTAATTCAATGGATTTGGGTAAATTCAGAAATACACTATTTGGTTTAAGTTGTTGTCTGTCACAGTCATATATCTGCTCAACAATATCGTCCTCAACTAACGACCGCCGCTGCTGCAACCCATCGTCTGTCTGCCCCTAGCTGTCGCAACTTGTTAACTCCCCGCCCCACCACCCCAACTTCCCCAAGCACGCGCGCGCACACACCATACTCACCCATGCCAGTCACCGCTTGTCACCGCAGTAGCGTGACTGTCTTCGCCGACGGCCTCCACTTCCCATCAACCTTCTCGTTGCTGCTGTATCCCAGCCCTACCCTCCGCGGCCAATCTCCGATACCGATCATCGTTATCATCGTTGTTGTCGGCCACCGTCACAGCCGCCTTCACTGCTATTTCTTTTCAAACTAAACAAGAAAATGTAATGTCTTGGATTTAATTTATGTTAAATCTAACAACGTTAATGCATTCTAATTACAATACATTATTTTTATACTGCATCCCTTTTATAATTAATTCTTTTTCAGTGATCTAAATAGCCATGAATGATAATTAAATGTCTTATGATAGATACGTGTACAGATTTTAATCATCACTTGATCCAAATCCAATGTTTAGCGCAGTGTTAGACTTTCATTGGAATGCTCCAGAAAATTTTGATGTACTTTTCAACTTGGAGCTTGCCCATCATATTATGATCCACTTTAACATGAAGCTGAAAGTAAACTGCAGTAGAGTTTTCAGCATGTTAAATTTTGTTGAAACCAAAGACTTAAATTATATGTTGGTGCTTCTCAAAATTAATTTTTTTATATTTTAATGCTAACTAGTTAATCTTCTGTAACTTGGATCAAGAATTTAGAGTCACAAATAAGAAGTAAGGCAAAATGCTTATCCATCTTCTCTATCTTTTCAGGCACATTTGGTGTCGTTTATCATGGACATTGGATTGGTTCAGTATGATAACCTAACTTGGGTGGTTCTCTTTAAGTTTGGATCATTAGTTGAGAATTATAACTCATTATCTTCTCTTATTCTTTAGGATGTTGCAATAAAAGTGTATGCAAGAATGGATTATCAGGAAAGTGCTCTGCTGGACTACAAAATGGAGGTATAAATAGTTCATTAAACTTTTTAGGTTGAAGACTACAGCAGTGTAATGCTTCATTTTGATTGATTGCAGATTGCTATCATGAAGAAGCTAAGACACCCAAATGTTTTGCTTTTCATGGGAGCTGTGTATTCTCTTGAGCGTCTTGCTATTGTAACTGAATACCTTCCTAGGTGATACTTTTAACATCTATAGCATGCAAGATAGGTTTGTGTTATAGAGGAATTGTATAAAGCACTATTTTTTTTCTATTATTTTGTTTACTACAGAGGCAGCCTCTTCAAAACGCTGCACAAAAACAAGCATGCATTGGACCTGAGAAGGCGTTTGCAGATGGCGCTCGATGTTGTAGGTTCCTAATGCAAAATCTTGAATGCTTGTTGCAAATTTTATTTATTTATTTATTTATTTTCTGCTTAATTAAACTAGTTTCTTTGAAAGACTGGCTTAGTATAAATTGCTTCCAGGTCAAAGGAATGAATTATTTGCATCGAAGGAACCCACCTATCATACATAGAGACCTTAAATCCTCGAACTTACTAGTTGACAAAGCCTGGAGAGTAAAGGTAAGAAAGCTTTCTTTATCAGACAATGGAATATCTATTTCATTATCCTAATCAACAGTAACAAACAATTCAGAGTTTGGTTGGTTTGCTTGTGTCAATTCATATCTATTCATACCCCTTCCTATTACGCACTGCATGGACTATTTCTTTGTAAATGATGGAATTTTGTTTCCCAGGTTGGTGATTTTGGCTTGTCAAGTTTAAAGATATCGACAGTGGTAACAACAAAAAATGGAATAGGAACCGTAAGGCTCTTTTGCTTTCTTGTTGCGAAATAGATAATTGATTATCAAGTAAATGTTCTGCATTACGCTATTAACACAATTTTAGCTTAAAATTTAATGTTTAAGAAATGATCTGCGCATGGCTACTTTTTCAATAGCCTTCTAATTCTCAAATATGTATCTTTTATGATAGAACATTGTGAATACCCCACAAAATAAAATGGTTAGAGAACTTCCTATATGAAATACTGATCTCAAGCCGTTACTTTGAATTTCCGCAGCCTCAGTGGATGGCGCCTGAGGTCCTCCGCGGTGAATACTCAAGTGAGAAGTAATTTCCTCATCCTATTTTGTTGGTTCTTCTTTGTGAACAAAAAAGATTTTGGACAGATTTTCTCTAAAGAATTACTTATGGCAACTAATGATGGATCTTTGTCCATCATATCGTTCGCCCCAATCTTGAGGTGTGATGGATGGTGATCCATTATTATGTGGAAAACCCTTGGGGAGTGTTTGGGATCCATTATTATGTGGAAAACCCTTGGGGGGTGTCCATTATTATGTGGAAAACCCTTGGGGAGTGTTTGGGATCCATTATTATGTGGAAAACCCTTGGGGGGTGTCCATTATTATGTGGAAAACCCTTGGGGAGTGTTTGGGATCCATTATTATGTGGAAAACCCTTGGGGGGTGTTTGGGATCACCTTTGAATTCTGTTATTTATTTTTTAAATTTTATTATTTGTTTTTTTTTTTTTTTTTTTTTTTATTTTGTTTTGCTTTTGTTTCTATTTAAAACAAAATATTTTTAGTATGATATAATATGTTTTTAAGTGTCTTGAAAAATACTCAAAACAACATTTGGATATTTTGAGTGTTTTAAAAAAATAAGCTAGTTTATTTTTAAAAACAATAAATAAAAACATGTAAAGTAATGCACTAAACAAAATCTAGAAAATAAAAAACAGAAGTGATCCTAAACAAGCCCTTGTAAAAGATTTACGATACATGTTTATTAAAAGAATGATGTTTTCCAATAGAGAAGGATTATATACATCAAATAGTAAATCACTAGAAGTGCAATGCAGGTCGGATGTTTTTAGCTTTGGAGTTATCTTATGGGAACTTATGACAGAGTCCATTCCTTGGAGAAATCTCAACTCCATGCAAGTAAATGTTTTTTGGTGCAAGAATTTCATAAGATTAGCCACCTTGAAAGTAGTAAGCTGACTTTTTTTTTTTTTTTAATTTGGATTTTTTGAAGGTGGTCGGAGTGGTAGGCTTCATGGATCAACGGTTGGATATACCGGAAGGACTTGATCCTATGATTGCATCCATCATCACTGATTGTTGGGCAAGGTAACGCGGTGAATGGAATGAAGTTCTTTAATAAAACATTTTCATTAATATACCATATCAGCAAAAGTACATGTTTAAGGTAAGTTTTTTAAAAATGTTTTGGACCTGGCAGCGATCCATTGCAGCGGCCATCCTTCCAGGATCTCGTGGGGAGGTTGTCAAACAACTTGAGGGAAATGGCGCTACCGCCTCCCGCCCGGAGATTGAAGCATCCACCACGTACATCCCTGCCAGTTTCCTGAGGCTCTTGTGATTATTCATGGACCCTTGGTGTGGTTTTTTGCTTTTATTCAGGGGGGAAGAAAAGATGCACCAGGTGCCCCTCATAAAAATGTAGGACATTATTGTAACATATCGTTACATTTTGTGAAAATTGCTACACTCCAGTTTTGTCTGTACATTTTATTTATATCTCTTGTAGAAAGGCCATGTTATTTTACGTCAAATACTGATATATATCTTTTTTTAGGAGTTTTTACATGCATATGGTACAATTCTTAGAATTTAATTATCTAACATATACATTTTAGGGGGATTTACATAGATGTGTGATAATAGCATCAACTCAACACTACCCAAAACAAAAACGAGGTTCTGCTATCCTTCCCAATTCGATACAAAACAATCCAGGATATCGATCACAACAACATAACTACAATCTGTTAGAAGTTCAGCCACAATAACTGGCACGCCATTATAGATTCATAGGAGCTGTATCGGTAAGAGAGCAGAGAAAATTTTAGAGAATGTACTGGGATTCAATAAATCTTTTACTTAACTGTTTTCTATAGCTTCGGAATATATAGCTATCGGCTGTAGAACTTTTTTATATCATGTCAGAGCTTCATCCCACCGGAAGCTCCTATAGTCGGATCGGACAATTGAAATCACAAATTTAAGTCGTTGACTGCTCTATCTCTTCTTCAAGTTCAGATTCAGTAGTTATGCTTTCAGCTTGTCTGAACACTCTTCAAAATACAAGATCTTAAGAAAATGAATCCAGTTCGTTTAAATTCGATATTTCAACCATCCTCACTCAATTTAAGTTCATCATGCATAGCATTAAAGCAAGTATTTTATACCTAATTGACATAAAAAAACAAATAATCCCAAATCCTTAAACTATAGACAGCAAATGGTGAATATAGTTTTCTTGATGGCTTTACACCATGACCTGCTTCTCAAATCTTCCTACTAGATGGATTAACTCAGCCAAATCCCAACCATTCTCAATGGTTTGTGATGGATCGAAATTTAGCTGTCGAGCTCTACTCCACAATATCCTCATCAATATTACCATATGTTCTGAATTTAGATGTAAAAACATGTGGATCACCATTATGAATCGACTTCAATCCACAAATAGGTCTTGCATCATCCAACTAAAAAACGAGCTTATAATTTATCCATGGCTCTCCACCATAAAATCCAAGATAGATTCCATTGCTGCTATCAGGTCTGAGATACATGAGAAACTGCACTTAGCTACTCAAAACAATAGACAAATTGCTCTAACTTTAGTTCATATTAGAAACAAAAGCTATCAACATAATAACAATAGCAGAGCCAACTCAAATAATTTTTGCACCAAGGCAGTTCTCAACCAGAAATCATGACAATTTGAATCAACCTCAGATCACTTGCCGAATTTCACAAATATTATCATTTGATAGCTAAATGCTAGCATGAACCAACTTGTGATACCAGCTAGCAAACCCAGAAGCCATGATGGCAGTTGACAACTCACCCAAGAATGGCTCATAGGCACGGGAGCTATCTCTCATCTGATATCCGATCATAGGTAGGTACAAAATATTCAACTATATCATGGATCACAACAGATTACAGTCACTAATGGTCAGTCACTACCCATCATACACAACTATTTTAATTTCTATAAACCACTCCATCCCGTAAGCTACATATTTCTCCTTTCATGTCCCAAATTTACGCTGCAATCTTGTTTCTATTCAAAAACTTGCATATGATAACTCTTGCTTCTTGCACTTCAACTTATCTGGTTACATTAGCAAGGACAGTTAAACCAACAAAATTTTATTCAAGGACCAACCAGCCATTCATGTTGCCATAGCTCTAACCAGTTCCATTTTTGCGAAAAATATTTGGCATCATTATTTTGGTCATCCTCAACACTCAACCCTGAAAAGCATTGCTTACAAAAACCTTCCATTATGTATCCAACCCACAAATATTTCTTGTACTCACGTAACATTGTAAAAAGCCACAAAATTATCCTTTGTTACTTGTACTTTCTCTAGCTTTCTATACTAACCATAATACACTCTGATGTATGGGGCTCTTTGCCAACCATCTCAAATGAAGGATATCACAATTATATTACATTTATTGATAATCATCTCACTATTGCTTTTTGTATCCAATGCATCATAAATTTGAATCAGCACAACTATTTAAAATGTTTCAAAAAATGGTGGAATGCTAATTTCAATCCCAAATCAAAATTCTATGCATTGATAATGGTACTGAGTGCAACAATAAATATTTCAAACGTATCTTAATACTGACGGAATTATACATCAATTTAATTGTACTTACACCCTAGAGTAAAACGCCTTTGTTGAAAGTAAAAACAAATATACCTCTGAGGTCTCAAGAGCTCGTAATCTCACTACCCAACCACCCCACTTTCTTTGGCCACATATTATATGCCACCTACCTAATTAATCTACTCCCTTCTTCCACCACAATGATCAAATCTCCATTTCAAATTCTATCAAAATAGTAGCCTCAATACAATCATTTTAAAACTTCCAGTTGTCCATGCTATCCTTGGTTGTAAACATATGCCTCTAATCACAAATGCTACAAATGCTTTAACCCAACGACAGGAAAAATCTATATCTCACGCCAAATAAGCTTTGTTGAATCAACTTTTCATTTCATCTCAACAACTCTTGTCCAGCCACACCTTCCAATACTACAAAATCAACATTTTTTTTCACCTCTTACATTAGTTCTAGCATCTGCCACTTCACCCAATCCTTGCTTACTCCCTCATAAGACCTCCATAGAAGCATCTACTTCTACCATGCCTTCATCCCCTGCCGTATCAACATTCAAACCCTGTAACCTTTTAGCAATTACATTTGAAACATCCCATGTTTACCAGATTACAAACAGGAAAGCTAAAGCTAGAATAGATTTTCAACCTCACTCACATCACTAACTCAACATGTTCTTCTAATATTGTAAAACAAATTCAATGAAGCAAGATTTTTATTAGAAGAGATAGAAGCACTCCTCACCCAAGACACTTTGACATTCGTTGCTTCTCTAATAATCAGCACATAATTGGATGTAAATGAATTTACAAAATTAAATTTCAGTCTGTTGGTTCAATTACAAGATACAAAGATTGATTAGTGGCACAAGGTCATAAGAGCAACATGAAATCAATTAAAATCAAACGTTTTGCCTGACATCAAAACCTTCTTCACTGTGGCCACAAACCTGAAATGGCCTATCATAACTTGATGAATCCAATGCATTTTGCCATTGTAATCCTACCAAAACAATCTACATGTCTCAACACCTGGATTCAAGGATATCCAGATCATGTGCGTCTTCTCAAAGAGAAAATATATGTTAAGCAATCTCCATGTCAACGGTACAATACATTTTCTTCTACACTTCATGATATCGCTTTCCAAGTTAGCAAAGCCAACCCATTTCCTTAGTGTTGTACCATAAAACATAAGTTTAGTTATACATGCTGATCTATGTTGATGACATTAATTATAGGTAATCAGTCTTCCTACGTTAAACACTTAATCACTCATCTTCAAGCCATCTTCATGAACAAGAATATGGGTCCTATATCTACCTTCCTTGCAATAAAAATCACCCAAACCGAACTTGGCCTTCACTTCACACAAGCCAACTAGGCTAGTGACATTCTTCAATGAGTGGGCATGAAAAACTATAAACCAATAAATAATACCCCCTCTACAAAACAAAATTATGTCACTGATAGCCTTCAACAGTGTTCCAATCCATAACTATACCACCAACTAGCTGGATTCTTACGGTATCTTACCAATACATGACATGATATAGCATTTTCTGTCAAAAAACCATATCAACATCTCCACCAGCCCCTCAACATTTATTTTACTTATCTCAAACACCCTCTAAGTAGGCCTGTCAGGTCACTCGCGAACATCTTGTGTTCAGCTCGTGTTCGACTTGTTCGTTAAGCCTAACGAGCCGAACAGGAACAAACCTTTTGTGTTCTACTCGAAAATAAATAAATAACTATATCAAAAACAATTTATTTTCGTTCAGTTTATAAACAAACCAAAAATGGACATTCATCTGTTTGATATTGTTCGAATCGTTATTGTTCGAAATATAAAATAGTTTAAATAATTATAAATAAAAAATTATCATATTTTAAAAAAATTAAATCCTATTTTAAAAAGTTAAATCCTATAATATAAAATAAATTATTAATAATAATATATTAATAATATTCATCTTCATGAACAAGAATAAGTTATAAGTGTTATATATTTATATAACATAAATTATACTATTAAACTTTTAATATAAATACTTTATATCAACTCCTAACCCTAAATCGTGAAACTAGTTCAGGTTCCCCTTTCCCTCTCCTCTCAAAGAAAAATATTTATGTACGTCATATGCAAGTGGAATTACAAGCGTATAAATGTTATTTGGACGGTATTGGAGGGCTATGTCGATGTTATTGGGGTTAATACACTCAATAACCTCACAAAATCTTTGAATGACAGGAAAAAAGATGAGCGCCGAACCGCAAAATGTATTGGTAGGTTATTGGGAGATTATTGAAATGTTATTGGGTTAATACCCCCAATAATCTCTTAATAACCCCCAATAACTGAGTTATTGGAAGGTTATTCAGGGTCATGCGCACGCAGAACTACGTGCGTATGACATACGTAAATAGCACTCCCTCTCAAAAGCCTTAGAAACAATTTTGGCCACCTCCATTCTTTCCTTCTCTCAAAATCGCTAGGTCTAAGAGGTTGTCGCTCGATATTCTTACTTGGTTTGTGTTCGTTTTTTACTTCTATTTGTCTTCGGCACTGTCTCTTTGTCCTCGATGTTGGCTCGACTACTCTATTATCGAGGCGTCATCATTGAGTATATTATCTAAGTTTCTCTAATATTGCATATTTATCCTTAGGTTTTCCTCCTAGCTTAAATTTTCTGAGATTTCTTTTAGATCTATTTAGAAATTTTTTAGTGAAATATAGTTTTTGGTTGTGAAATATTGCCAGTCGCCATTGCCTCTATATTTTTTTATGAATTTGAGATCTGATATAAGAGTTTTGGAAGGGTTTGTTGTGCTGTGAAATGTGATTCAGTTGCCAAAATAGTACTGTGATTCTGATTTTTTATGGTTTTGAGTAGTGCTGCAAACGAGCCTAGCCTGAGCAAAATCCTTTTCAAAATGAGTTTTATTTTCTTATATCATGTTTATCTAATTATCTTACAGTTACAACGACTTGAAATATATGATGAGATCCTTTCAAAATGAGTTTTATTTCCTGCATTACTGTTTATCTAATGTGATTTTGGAGTTACATAGCAGTGGGTGATGAG